TGTACACGTGTACATTTTTAAGGCATATAACAATAACGTGAATGGACACCACCCACTTAATTTATATAACGATAAATCGCATGATATTTATATTAAATTAGCGAACAAAAAGCTGCGACCATCGGCTAGGGGCAGGCCGCAGTTAAATAATTACAGCAAACACCTTGCAAATTGTAGGAAACTACATAAATATAGCCAACAACAAAAAAAAAATCATAGCTTTAGCTTCGCCGCAACTACAACACCCTTCATAAACAAAACTTAGTAAGCTAATGCGTGAAATAAGACATAGACTATTTGAACAAAGGGGTTAGATATTCTCTCAAGCGAAACTTTAATATCAAGTTAAAAGTTACTTATAGTATTCAATTAACTTTATAAATCATAAATTCTATAGTTGAGAAAAAGCATTGCTTTCAATATTTTTATTGAACAAATGTTTTGTACAGATTTGTGAATACCTTTCTTTGTTGTAAAAATATCGGCCATAGAACCAGCATAGAAGAGAAACAGGCCTTTCTTTGTCAGCTATACATAAAATAAACATTGGAGTTCAGCTTAAGCATAGCTTCCTAGCTCTTACTGTTTTGGCTGAGCATTGATTCCAATATCGTAAAAAGCGCAAAAATTAATCTCAAAATATACAAACCAAGTTAAAAGTTAATCGGATGAGAAATTAAAATTCAATGTGCTACGATTTTACATTGAAGTATGTTATATATATATATATAGATAGATATTTAACTAAAATTAAAACGATCTTCTATATATAAAAGTAAACATTTTTCTAACATATTAGAAATTCTATTTATGCCTGTACCTCAGTGAAGTCGTTTATATATGTTTAACTCTGCTGTAAAAACTAAAAGTACTCACTTTTGAAGAGTATAGAGACTACAATTGCAAGTAATATTTATTAAATAACAATTACAAGAGCGGCAATAGCGAAGCCACAACAAAAACACGTAAAATAATTAAAGCAACAATGGCAGTGACTAACAAGTCTGACAACAATTACTAGTGCAATACATACACGCACACGCACATAGCTCTATATACGAATGTATGTATCTAGTATCTACAATATAAGCCAATGTCTCTTATTTTCTGCCCTCAAAAGAGTGTCAAAATGTTTTTATAAAAAAAAGTGAAACTTTTACGCTTAAATTGACTTTGAATTTTTAATACAATTCCAAGAAACTAAAAAAGGCGCCACAATTTACCGTTAGCAATGACGCTGAGAGTGAACAGCATTGTTGTCGGTTTTGCTTTCGGGCCTACTTGTCAATATTTTTGTGGACAAGTGTTGACGACTCACCTGCAGCCAGAGATCACAGAGAGCGGCAGTGATGTTGACAGTAAGAGTTGTGAGAGAGAAAGAGAGAGAGAGAGAGAAGAAGGGAGATGAGAGCACGCGTTGAAAAGTGTGTCATTTAAATATTGACCACGACAACCAACAATGACAACGAATACAATCAAAGATGAAGCCGCAAATGGAATTTTGGGGCCAGTGCACGTGCTGAGTGGCTTAGTGAGTTTTGTAGTTGTTTTTTTTTTTTCTTTGATCTTCAATGAAGTTGGTAGCTGTTAGTTTCCCATACACTATATTTGTGTAGGGTCTTGCTGCATTTTTTAGCTGCCGCTCTCGCGCCACTCTCCCACAGCCCTCGCTCTAATACTCTGTTCGCACTTTCGTTTTCATTCATGTTTACTGGCTTACAGGTTGGCCTATTTGGGAACTTACATACATACATAAGCGTGCTATTGGCCATTGGCCCTGTCGCATCACAGCATCACGCCACTTTTTCCCTTTTTCACATTGTTTCTGATCCGCTCCAAAACGTGTTTTCTTTCATCTTATGCTATTATTTGAAGTTGTCTGAACAAGTCTCCGAAACTCTTAATTTAGTTTGTATTTTTGCAATGTCGTCAGACTTATCAAGAAGTCGAAAATTTCAGTAATTTTCGCATGATATAGCTTGCTTGAAACTGATTATTCACTCTAAAGGTCATACTTCCTTGTAAAGTGAGTCACTTAGTTAGTTAATGACTCGTAGGTGATAGGAAACGAGTCAATGAATTAATCATGCTTACTTTATTGTACGTAGCACCTATTGGAGAGCTCTTCAATAAAACTAATCAACCACTTAGAGCCTTTATTTTTTAAAGCTGAGACTAAAATGTTATTCTTTAGTGCACAATCTGAATCTTACAACTTATTGTCATTGGAAAAATCCGTGAGAAGTTAATACAGATGTTTAATAATCGTATATGTTGTATAGCTAGAATATAACTAGATTTTGTTTGCACACTCACAAAACCTAAGAGACGTGCTAATAACTCTAAACAACACTCAATGATCACAAAGTGTCGATATGGCTGCGATAAAATCATTGAATTAGCAAAACGCTGGTTTCCTAATTACAAAATTTACGACATTTATGTAGATAAAATTAAGTTGCAATGCAATGTTATTTAATAGGCATAATAAAACCAGTTGAAGTGTTATGTTTAAAGTAGAAAACGTTTTTGACACGCTAGCTAAAATAATGGTCTTCATTTTCAATTAAATTAAGCTATTGTGATACGAAAGCAGAGCAACATAACCTGTCTTTTGAAAATCTTGAAAAAATGTGGATTAGAAATCTGAAATACAGGTATGCTCATATAAAATATATGAAAAGCCCAACCAGTACATCAGTACAGAATTGTAGTGGAATTTAAATTGTATATTACATACTTTCTTTTAAACATGCACTCAACAAAAGAGAGAAAAATTCTTTAAAATTTGGATAAATCCGCATAAAAAATGTGGCAAAGAACCGAATTTGGGACTAAAGCAAAAAATTTCATCTAGGATGGGTTACCATAAGTAACGTACGTACCTTTGGGACTCTGAGAACTAGAGAATTAATCAATGAGGAAACAAAACTAATTTGGTTTGAAAACAGTCCCAAATTTTAAGCTAATCTCTTTTTAACATTGAATAAACTGCTTTAGTATATTTTAGTACTTTTAAAGTTAGTTAATACCTTTATAATTTATCCAAAATGTAGTCTATTCATCCATAATATCCCAAATCTTAGCAATACACATTTTTGGAGTTTACGGAATTAGAAATATGATAACAAAATGACTTATTTAGGTTTAGACAATGAGAGTATTTTTCAACAAAAACATGACCGAATGCTAAACTCAACTTTATGTATTCAAAAATCAATGAGGACTGCTGCTATGATCCAATATTTTAGAGTTGTCTTTGACATTACAAATGAAGAATTGTTAAATGGAAGTAAAAAAGCAAAACACCCATCTCCGATCCATTTGCGAATGTTAATGAACTTTGCGTATTCAAAGATGCTTGCGTAAGCCACGTCCACGTGGAACAGCGACTGAAATAAAAAATGGAAAAAGTCGGTTACCAAATTTGGTCAATGGCATCAAACAAATTTGTCTCGAAACAAAATGGCGAAACGTTTCAAATACATGCATAATTATAAGCAAATTAAAATTGGCAGTGGTAAAGCATAATGCTAAAAGTTAACGTAACCAAATCAAGGAAACTAAAAAATGTTGCAACTAAACACAAATCCAAAGCAAAACAAAATGCAAACACAAAAAAATAATCAAATTGAATGCATACACATAAAAATTTGAGACTAAGTTGCGAATTTGTTGTCAAAAGGCAATGCAAAAAATGTTTAGCTGCAATAGTTGGGGTACAAGTGCACACACACACACACACACACACACACATGCACAAGTCGCGTAGCATAAATCAAGTTTAAGACACAAAAATGGCTCAGGCTAAAACAGAAACAACAACGCAACAAAAATAATCAATTGGCCAACATTTTAATGTCGTTTGCTTACCGCTATTGTTGCTGTAGTCGTTCTTCTTGTTGTTGTTGTTGCTGTCATTTCAGTCGCCTTGCATAATCCGCACAGTGCCTGCCAACCTACCTCTCAGCCCGTGCTCCCCTCTTTCCCCACACTGGCAGTGTTTACATATTTTCGCGAAATCAGGTTTACTGCCAACTGTAAACTCTTTCTCTTGCTTTTCGCCGGCGGAGAGAGCTTACGTGCTAACTACTTGTATCTCTCTCTTTTTGTCTCTTCGATGTTACTTATGCAATATTCGCATACATATTTATTTCATTTACGAGCTGCCTTTTGGCCAAAAGTGAAAACTGGAATTTCGGTCCAGCCCTAGCGTCTTGCGAGAAAGTGTGTTAGTATCGTCGGTGGGATTTCATCACCATCTTTCCCACACCCGCACCCACATTCGCATCTCAACCCGTTGAGTTGACAACCTACAGACACAAGTCCCAGGGTCAACGTCGTAAACATAATTTGATTTCAAATGCACAAACATACTTACAATATTTATGCGCTTCGAATGGAATTACGACCCATATGGGATTTACTGTTTTCTGTGTTTAAGAAATTGAATGCTACAATTAAATATTTTCATTTACATATACTGTATTTGCGACTAATAGTATTCCGAACCACTTTCAATTGAAAACTCTAATGATATTGTCTATCCAAATTTGATTGACCTTGACTGACTTACTATATTATATTATTGAATATTCTTAGCTTATTGGACAGCACTACCCTATTAGACGTCATTATAGTATTGGCTATCCTTACACTATTTCTATATTATCAATTCAACATATTTCAATTTTTACTATCCTAATAAATGCGACTCGCTAACTTTATTTAAGTCATTGGGTTATCGTAATGACTCAAATCATAAATACACCTAACTCTGGTTTTACACGGTAGATTGGTTCCAGAAACAACCATGTAAAAAAAAAACATGCAAAAATAGGTGATTGGTTCCTTATCTCTAAAGAAATTTATATGCAATTTTTAATTTTCAAACCGTCTTATATTAAAACCCTGTGAAAACAGAATTAGGTGTACATACAAGTAGTTATCCCATTTCCTGACATCAGGATATTTTCAATAATGAAAAATGCATTGACCAATGGGCAGATCGCTACACCCAAAGCTGCCTTGGCATCCCAGCACGAAAGTAGTGTGCTGATTCTCCAAGGCCGCTCGTCGGGGACGACCTGTGCCCCTACAAAAATTGAGCTTCAAGGGACTCGGGCCGCACTGAGCTGCCCTCATCCCTCTGCCTTGAAGCCAAACTGCCAAGCGATTAGCAAGGCCGATTGGTTTTCCTTACTCATTAAATTTAGGCACGAGTTTTTCATAGCCATGAAACGCATACCCTTGCAGACGCTGCTCGAACCGTTTGAGAATTACTGGGAAAATTGTGTAAAAAAGCTTTTGCACAGGAATATATGCGAAGATTTTGTTGTGTGGGCATGCAACGCTTAATTATAGTTAATAACAGATATATTTTACTCTACTTAGACAATCCAGATGCTTGAATTAAATGTGCACATGCCTACAAAATACTACTTGTATCTCACATTTCCGCTCTCAAAGCTCTCAGTATCAGAGACAAACTTAGCTTAATTGCCCATTATAGTGAGTTTTATTTTTTTGTTGTTGCGTTCGTCTTATCTGCGATGCGACATTCGAGCGTGATGGCAAGCCATAAAGATGGCACCGACGTAGACCAGACATAAATGGCTTTGATGGCGATTCACCCGTAGGCATGCAAATCTAAAAACTTGCCACCACGAATCGCATGTGATTTTTGTGATTGTTTCAAAGCGAGTGCTGCTTTGCTTTAATGATAGGTAGTGGTGTCCAGCCTATTGTTTCGCTGATAACACCACAGTCTGCATAAATTCAACTAGTTTGAATAAAAACGGAACAACAATCCCCAACATCATCTATTATAATCTTTATAGTCAGTATACCAGCTTTTATTTTCATAACAAATGCATATACATTTTTATAAACCCCTTCTATTGTAGATTGACCCGAAAAGCCTGAATAATTTATTAATTCAATAGTTTCACAGAAAGAATGAACCTGCTTGATTATTTATTCAGTCTAATTTATGAGAATTTGCAATTTTGCAAACTTTGATTTGATTTTCATTAACAATTGCGCACAATTGTTGGCCCATGTGGCAATTATTCAATGAATGAAACGCTAGAACAGTTAACAACTAAAGCCATCTGGCTGAACATTCTATGGTTTCTCTAGTAAATAAGCATTCTTTGATATTAACTTTAAGCAAACTTTTATTTTTTTTATCACTTTTTGGGCTACATACAAAGACCTGAAAAGTCAGAAGAATGCATAGAATAGTAAGGTGTTTTTAAACAATAAATATTTATTCAAATTATTTTATGAAAGCTTTAAATTATAATAGTTTTAGCTCAAAAAAAAATTTGTGTGGCTTGGTAGTTTGTTTTTGTTAACAATTGCGCACATTTGTTAGCCCATTTGTGGCAATGAATGAAACGTTAGAACAGTTAACAATTAGAGCCACCTGCCCTGACATTCAATGGTTTGTTTAATAAAATATAAAAAAACACATTCTTTATTGTTTAACAAATGGCATTTCAATCAGCTATCTATTTTAGATTGCATTTGTCAAATACATATACTTTGATTTTAATTTCAATTTAAATATACGATTAAAACGAAAGGGAATTTACCTTTGACCTACCGCCTTAATTTCATTTCGTACAAATTACGAAGTCATAAAAATGTATTTTTTGAAATTAAATTAAGCATTAAATTCAAAAGTGGCATAGTAAAAACAGTTGGGTGGGTTTTAACGTAATAAACCATATGTAAATCACTCTGAAATTTGAGATCGTACCTGTTGTGATTACAGACTTTTAAAAGCGACAAAATGTTCCCAAAATATTGTAAAACTGACTGCAGCTGCAAACTAAAAATAAAAGGCACACAGACAGCTGTAATTCGCTGAGATTGAGGTCGAATATGATGATTGCTTCCTTGAAGCTTTTTTAATGCATGCCTAGACTATTAAACTGATCAATTTGTCGTGCCGTAATTTGTTTAAATTACCAGCCGATGTTAATCAAATGCTATAATAATGCAAACAAATGAAATGTAAAACAGCTTAAGCCCCACTTGACTTTTCCTTTTCCTATTACCGTACTTTCAATTAATTTCTTCTAGAACTTGTTGTATAATTAGACTAGAACTTCCGTTGACATCTGTGGCCACCTCGAATTCTCGCAAACATCGTAAAGCGTGCAAACTTTATGACAATGAATTTTTAGTTTATGACAAACACAATTAAACTGAAATGTTTTTTTGGCATTGGCAGTGATACCTTCTGACCCCTCCATCCCCGACGACTAGATAGTCTTGTGCTTAATACTATTTGCTCTTGTCAACGCTTTGAAGAAAGCCGAACGCGCGCTCGCTATGTTATCAATAGTCCAGACTCCCAGATGATCTATATGATCCCCACCAATCGGAATCTATGCAAATATACAAACAAACTAATAAAAACTTAAATAAAGGAAGATGGCATAAAAAAACACGCGCGCCTTGCCGTCATTTTATTAGACAAACGGTAATGGGTGGTAAATGGAATAGAAACTAATCGAAATCATACGGAACCGAAATTTTTATTATTCATGACTAATAGAATAAAATTACACATACAATTTTAAAGCGATGATAAGGTGCCATAAATCGAATTCCCAAAACTAACACCTGTAGATATCGGGGCAGACTAAATGAATGGGCCAGGTGGTCAATAATTGATTTTATTTACAGATTAGCGAAAACACTTTCAGGCTAGCCTGATTGGGAAGTCGTTGACTTGTTATTTCAAACAAATAAATAACTTATTATTATTTCTCTGTGAAAATAAAACTATATAACTTTTTTCTTGAGTCATGCGCCAACAGCTTTACTCAGTGGTTTTTTTTTTTATGCCGCCCGCTTTTTTTTTGCCAATTTCTTGGTTATGCCTCAGAATAGCGTATCGCATTAAGTTTAATTTAATTTAAAAACTCATTAAGTTACCAACATACAGAAATCCACAAAAAACACAAACACACAATGCCTCGTTAAAATGCAAAACATGTGGTGAAAACAAACCTTAAAATAAATGTGTAAGTTAAAATAAAATTTAACAAAATGAGCTGCTTATTAACGCAGTGTCATCGACACGTTTAACTGTTGAACAACATTAAATTTTAAACGTTTTTACACACTTTTTTAAGTAAGAGCATTAGATTTGTCATAACTTTAATACGATAGAACGAACAAAAAATGGTCTAAATAGGCTTATCTGGCATTTTGATTTTAATAGGAAACTACAAAACTTCTATAAAAAGTATATAGCAATAAAAAAACTAAAGAAATATGTGTTCCTCGAATTCTTTTCAATTGTTTATACAAGATTGCTTGCAATCCAATTATGCACTATTAATACAAAGAAGAACATGAAGTTGTTACCCAGAAACCAGTATTAATATATAATAATATTATTATAATAATATTAATTATAAATACTAGACGCAGAAAGAAAGAGAATGAAAAAAATTTAATGTTTAAAAATGTTTAATAAAAATTTGAAAACTTAAACCGCAGTCTGAAGAATGCAATTATATAGTTCAGCATATATTTCATCTAACTTAAAATATTTCCATAAACATAGTTTGCAAGTGTTTGTGTTGAGTTTAATGGAACTGAACCTTACTATAGAACTTTTTGTTCCATTCACTATCAATAGTATTTGAATGTACAAGATCAAGGCCTTAACATAATTATAGTCTAGATTTCCATTTACTGATCGCAATCTTTTGCCTTCATGAAGGGTAGTCAAAGGCATAGCTTTGTAGTCTAATTCGACTTGCTTGCCAACTAGGCCCTGCTTTTCCACTAGTATGCATAAATCAGGCGATTTTTGACGCGTATTCATAATCGCTGTATTGTGAGCGATGGCTCAGGAGAGGCGATCTGTGACAAATCTGATAACCAAATCGGCAAGCGATGACGCCAATCAAATGCATATGAGTTTTTGCTTATATTTTTTAATTAAAATGTCGCGCGCTTCTGACATGAATCCAGAATAGGTTTTTGATTGAATTTCTGAAATTATAATCAATATTTTTTAGTTCGCTGCCCTAGGGGCTTAACTAATTATGACCAGCTGGACGACAATTGCTTGAACCGGTCGATTGTAGATATTGTTAATAACAAATTTGCTTTGTCGTTTATTTACGACCTTTTCGTTGTTGGCATTGCGAACAAACACACACGCAAACACATACCTACCTATATTTATTTAAAGTTGTCAGAACCCCTCGATCTTTGACTAAGGTCCCCTGCTGCCTTCGCCCTTTCCCTGATCATTAAATAGCACTTGTTTTCGCACTGCCTTTGGCGAAATGCGTCAAAAGTTTGTTGATCTTAGCCAGCCTCCGTTGTTTTTGTTATCTTAACATTAACTTTTGAGTTTGCAATTTTTGCCTGTTTGTAAATGCAAATAAATGCAAGCTTATAACACATATTGTTTGCATATTTGAGAATTATTAAAAACATTATTTGTTTAGACCGTTTAACGTTTAACATTAGTGCGTATGTGTCAAGTGAAAATTGCAATTGAAAAAGCGTTTCTGGATTCTAGCTCGCTGATGTCAGCACAAAGACATAGAGGATTTACACATTTATTTAGAAAAGCTGACGTGATTTTTAGTCGCCTCAAAATAAATTAAACACCATCTAAAATTAAGCAAAAAATCGTGTTTTGTCGTAATTATTCCATACAAACTTTTTATCTGCACACGTGTACAATTTATTAACAAAATTGCAGTACTATTAATGGGGTTCATGGATTTAAATTCTGATGTTTGTTAAAATTTTAAAATTTTAATTTTTGAATTGGAAAAATAAACATTTTTTATTATCTTTATTATTCAGCTTTCATATTGCTGTGATTACAATGTCTGTTTTATCGTCTAAATTGCCGCTGAGGTGATTGAACTCTTTAGATAATCGATCTCATTTTCACGAGAGGCCTGTTTGCAAGCGTCTACCAACACTAAATAAAATATGCCATCCCTGAAATCGAATCAGCTGTTTTGTATCACTTTTGTGTTTAGTTAACGGTAAAATTTAATAACATGAAAATAAACTAAAAATGTAACAACTTAAACCCAAAAAAAAAACTAAAAATGCAACACAATTGGTGAAATCTATTTATTAAACTATATTTATTAATTTTGGGATGCCATTGTTAAAACATTAAAGTATCAACTGGCGGTACGTTAAATGCTGACGATCCCTTTTGATTCCTTTCCGATTCCAAAAAGAAGAAACACACTTCCTAAAGACCATTAACTTGATTTCATTAATAATATTAATAATATAAGTACGTACATATGTACATATGTGGATAATTATGTACGTAAAAGCTCTAAAAACATTCACTTAATGCCAATAAGCTAAGTTAAAACAAAATGTTTAATGCAAATTAGGCTTAAAAATATCTAACTTGGGATACCTTAACATAAAAAAAATTGTTCAACACACAGTGAACACCTTTTACTAAATTGTTTTAGCATGCAGCCAGGGCCAACTAAGAGGGGTGGGCGTAAAATAATAAAAAATGACAGGCCTCTTGAAACCCCCGTAATTGGGGACCCGCTCATTTTCACTTCCCTCTTGACCTGCCCGATTACAGTTAATATATTTTGCATTCGCCTTAAGGTAAAACATCTTGACAGGTACAAATGTATATTTAATATTAACAACGGCTATTAAAGGGACTATTCAATACAAAATTTATACATAAGGGCTTTGCATTTCTAAATTGCTCCTTTCGTTTTACATTGCAGATTTCAGTTACGCGGCCCACTGATAATATGGAGCACACTGCTGGCCATGTTCAGCATTATGGGCGCGTTCCGTACGGCGCCGGAACTGTTGCATGTGCTGCGCCACTATGGACTTTTCCACTCCGTTTGCGTTCCTAGGTGAGTGAGTGGTGTGAGATGATGGAATATTTTCAAGGTTGTGTCGGCAAAACACGCACTTCGCCATCGCGTTCGTCCGGTTGACCTTGCCTGAGAAACGCAGCAACGGTGAAATGCCTTTTGCAGTGACACTGAACTTGATCGAAACCTGATTCGGTTACCGATTCAAAATTAATTCCATATACTATACGCTTCACTTACAAAAAACACAGACATTAATTCGTTCTTCTCCTCTCTCTCTCTCTCACTCTTGTTTGTATCGGCAGCTATATCGAGCAAGATCGCGTTTGCGGCTTCTGGACCTGGCTATTTGTGCTCTCGAAACTGCCAGAATTGGGCGACACGATATTCATAGTGCTGCGCAAGCAGCCGCTGATCTTCCTGCATTGGTATCATCACATCACAGTGCTGATCTATTCGTGGTTCAGCTACACCGAATACACCTCATCGGCGCGCTGGTTCATTGTGATGAACTATTGTGTGCATTCGGTGATGTATTCGTACTACGCTCTGAAGGCGGCCCGCTTTAATCCGCCCCGCTTCATTGCCATGATCATCACGTCACTGCAGCTGACGCAAATGATCATTGGTTGTGCGATCAATGTGTGGGCCAACGGTTTCCTTAAGACGCACGGGGCCCAATCGTGCAACATCTCGCAGACGAACATCAATCTATCGATTGCCATGTACTTCAGCTATTTTGTGCTCTTCGCGCGCTTCTTCTACAAGGCGTACCTGTCGCCGGGCGGCAAGAAGAGTCGTCATATGGCTGCCTCCCTGGCTGCCCAAAATACCGCCAAACTCTCCGCCGGACCCAACGATGTCTCCAGCAAGTTTGTGGCCAGCGATGCGGCCGCGGCTTCTGCTGCCTATCTGCGCAAGGCCAAGGCGCAATAAATACACAAACGCACCACACACACCCACATCCACAAAAGGAATCACATCCAGACACATACACACATCTACAACTACTACTACTACATACCACAAGCCCATCCCTGTACTGCTAAGGACATTTATTTAATGATGCTGAGATGAGTAACGGTGGAAAAGTTGTTTTTTAATTTTAAACGACGCAAAAGGATACGGCCGGGAACACGGACACATACACGCACGCACGCACACACACACACACACACACACATAACACCTGCATAAAGGGAGGGGAGGGGGAGCGTTGGGAAAATTTATTTATAAGCATAAAGTTTCACACAAAAGCAACGTGCAGCGACAAATTTATAACAACTTTTTTTAAACTATGTTTGTAATTCTTACGACGTTTATACGAAGCCTGAAAATTGTAAATTCAAAACAAGCTCGATTTAACAAAAGAGAAACATAACTATCCTCAAAATTATGTTGTAAATTAACTCAGCGAACACAAATCTAAATTTGTTGAAATGCTAAGAAAGGCAAACAAGTAAAGTTGTAAGTGAAAAAGTTCTGTTCAAAGAAAAAAAAAACATTGTATCACTCTAAATTTGCTGTATTAGTTAAATAGACACTATTTTGTAGGTCTATGGACCGTTTATAAATGTTGCATAGTTCGATACTTAGTAACTTTATTGCCAATTGTGTTTTCTATTTTTTTGCCTCAGGTGGGGTTTTCACAACGCTCAACAAACAAGAACTATACAGAACCTCCGTAATGCTCGTGTTGCTCCAAAAATTTTGTTAGTAAATTCTCAAATTGTTTGTTTGTTTGCCAAAGTGCTGTGTAAACCGTTCAGTTTTGCATGGGAAAGCAAAAAAGACATACATATATGAAAAATATATAGTGTTCTCTATATATATATATAATTCTATTGTTTGAACGAGCAGCAAAACCGCAACAAATTTTAGATTCGTTTGCAAAAGTTTTAAATTTTTTCGTAGTTGGGTCGGAAACTTGTACTCTAAGTCTCTACACTTATATATATGTATGTATATTTATAACTCTAAATATATAAAATAGAAGCGAAATGGAAATGAATGAAATATTTTAAAGCATTACAACAAACTATAAGTTTAGTCTATAATGATCAAGCGCAAATTGTTATTGTAAAGTAATAAAATGTATGCTATTTTTGTTTAACATTAACAAACAAACAAAAAAAGTAAAGGGAGAAGCTGCATTTTGTTTTGGTTTCTTTTCTATGAACACTCACCTTCTTTTTACTGCTGCAGAACGAAAGAAAAAAATAGGATACGAAAAATATAAATATTTTTGAAATATACATTTTTGAATGGAGGAGGAAAACAAACACTAATGTAACGTAAATACCAAACCCTCAAGCGAAGAAATTCAAATGATTTATATTTGTAAGAAAAAACATAAACAAAAAGTCCTATTTGGAAAGATAATTAAGTGTAAATGATGTAAAAGAATAAGAGATGAATGCAGTAAAATGAAACTTTAATGCGAACATTAAATGAACATATTGCAATTTTAGTGTGAAAACCAAAAAAAAAAATAAATAAATAAAACATGATGAAAAGGTAATAACAACGGATTAATAAAATGTAACGGAAAAAGGATAAATGGTTTGCGTGTATTTTTTAATAGGAATCTTATTAGCATGTCAAAGGACTGACAACTGGTTGGTATTTTATGAAACTATTTGAAATTTCTGTAGATATATAGGAAAAATTTTAAAAGATCCCACTGTGTATTGAAACATTATTGCCAGAAATGATTGATTAGTATGATACAACAACTTATTCTTGGTAAACATGTGACCAATCAGATTGACATGTGGTCACTAATTTGATAATATAATGAAAGATCCGATAAGAATGTAGATCTTACAATTAAAGGTTATACAAAATTTTCTAATTTCACACTTTCTCTGTCTACTCGTAGCAAAAAAAAGTAAATAAAAATAATTTGGTAGGGAAAATTCCTGTCTTCGAATTATACTCACTAAATCGAAACATTTTTGTAAGAAATATTTGATTATTATAATGAGGGAATGGATAAGCCGTCAGATCTTACAATTCTCCGCCCAAATGTATTAAATATCAGATTAAGTTGGAAAACTTGACAACTCCTTGAAATATTCAGCATAAAGCGAATATTTAATAATATGATAATAAGCATAGAGTAAGTATTTAAATGAAATTTCATATTTAACAATTCCCCTGACAATCGCAGCAAATTCTGATTTTCTCGTAGATTCAAAACGTATTACTTATTAATTTAAATATTAAACAAATAGTAAACTATATTCTTTATTTTAAAGCATGAAAGAGTTGCATGGAAATAAAAATCTCACATTTCTGTCCATAGTTTCCCGACACTTTCTTTTTACATTTCCTCTTTTATTTCCATAGATAAGTCTATATTGGAAAAATAAGAAAATTCGAGTTACAATTTGAATACATCTTAGATGGCAAAACATTTATTATTTGGAAAATGCTTCACTACACAATTGGTAAGTATTTTATCTAAACATTTAAGTTGTTTTTATTGTGTTTTCTCAATTTGAATTGCTTCTGCAAAAAATTGATGCTCCACTAATGCCGAACCACTTAAATTTTAATGTAGACTAGATATATGTCTAAATACATTGGTACATATATATGTCTATATATATGCATTTATGCATGTGTGTGTGTGTAGAGAAACGCACGTTTCGAGACTCTAGGACCTAAAAATTCAATAGACAAAGACAATAGATTACAAAACCGACTAAGCTCTAAAACTTTACATATGTATTTAGTTTGGATTTCTTCAGTAGGTATGTATCTTGCCACAAGTACACCGTTATCTGTGTGCGTGTGTGTGATTAATGTGGGTGTTTTATGAAAGTTTTGTTATGAGGTGTGTGAGTCAGCGAGTATGTGTAGTTGATCGAAATAAAGAAATAGTATGTATCCAAATGTTTTTCATAAAGCATATATATTGAACAATTAATTCAAGTTCAACTCGTGTTTATAACAAAGTACAAAAAAAATATACCAAAACCAATTTCTTTTTGTCTTTTGAGCACAGTTGTGAATGTATTCTTTTAATATCATTGTTTTTTCAGAGGCTGTTGTGCTATTAATTTTAAAAATGTTCTGAATTGGTTTTCGCGGCATGATAGTGCGTTTTGAACGAAATTTTAATTACAATGGTCAATTTGCAGAAAAAAAATCAATAAATGATAGAACAATTTGGAGGAAAAAACGCGATGTCAATAATTTTGTAATATGCGTTTTAGTTTTTAATTTGTTCAAATTCTGCACTCATAGCTGTTTGTTTTGGTTGCTTGATTGATGGATTGACTGGTTAAGTGATTAGTTTATGTTGAAGTTTTGCTTAAACATTATCCCTCGTTCGTTCGCTTTAACTGCTTGGCCCGATTTTGTTTGGTTGCAGCCTCCCGATAGTACTTTATTTACGTCTACTGCTTACGGTGCTCCAGCCGGACTCATTTTGTTGGTGTTGTTGGTGTCTGGCGTTTCTTGTTGGAGGAGGAGCAGCGGCGGTAGACGCAGCAGCATCATCTCACTTTTTACCGGGAGGCGCTATTGGTTGGCCGCGCTCCTTGCCACGTAATTTTATGCCAAGCACCCGCTCCATTTTACCTAGTATCAAGTTATTGGGGATGCCGCGTCCAGCTTCATAATCGGTGACCACTTGCTGCTTCTCGCAAATTTTCTAAAAATCACCAATTTACAAATGTGTTGAATTGATATTTTCAGCGACAGAACGCTTGTGTCACTCACCGTGGCCAAATCCTTTTGGCTGAGGCCTTTGCCCTGGCGGCCCTGCATTATCAGTTTGCCGACATCGAGCGGAATTTTATCGTGGCGTAGTTCCTCAGTCTCACGGTCCAGCTTGGCAGTGTTCTTCGTAGTGACATGCTGCTTGTTGGTGCCCGCACCATCTGGGGATCGAATCAAAATAAATCAATATGAAATGCAATACTTCAGCCCCACGTTTATAGGTCAGCGGTGACTGAGGAAACTTGAGCGGTTTGGTTTGCTTCGGAGTGGTGAGGTGTGGTGGGCGGGTGGTAAGCAGCTCATTGCAAAAAGCTTTAAAGCACGCGAGTTACTGCCGGTTGTGAAAATGTAGAAGGCATTGCGAAATGCCATACATACATAATATGCACACACACAACCTAACAGTAAGTTTGTGAAAATAAAAACAAATGCCACGCAATATGTAGCATTGACTGCAGCAGTCCCCGCCGCCGACACTTTCTCATGTAATGGGGTCGGTCGGCAGCGGCAACGATGTTGTATACATTTGTCACTTACATTTTTGTTGGGTATCGACGGCAACTCCTTGGCGGCGAGCCTGGTTAACCGCCGACTCCGTCTTCATCGCAGAAGACTTTGGAGCCTTTTTCCTTAGCACAGTTACAGCGTCCCAGTCAGACATATTTATATTGAATTCACTTACGTTGCCTGCTTTGTTTAATATAATTTGTATTGTAATTCTACTTAGCAAATAACCTTGCACTGTGGAATTCGATTTTTCGGAATATTTATTATCGAATATGGCATGCTCTAAGCCAAGGAGAGTGCTGTGTAACGTAACAAAAATCCACTAGGCCGTTAGCATAAGGATAACACAGCGCGCCAAAGTCATATCATAGAATTAATTTAGTACACACCTAGAATAACATTGGCGCTGTTTAGAAACATTTAGAAAATAAGGCCGTCAGTTTGTGCGATAGCATGTAAACCGTTTTGATTTTTTAGAGTAAGTAATTCTAACTTCGACACCTGCTCATCTCTACTTATACACCTTTCAGCAGTGCTGGAAAAGAGCAGCTGTGAGAGATGAAAACATAATTTATCTATTGTGAATGAATTTTTCCAAAAGGTATTTTTGTTCAATCTTTATATAAGACCTTAAACTTGCAGTAAAGCTTCCCACAAAGAATCATTAAATTCGTCCAGAAATTAAGAAGATACCGTTTAATGTTTTCGATGTCTGTCAAATATCGATACATCGATATGTTGTATAAGCGAATCGGTTTGTATCGATATCCCTGCTTCTTTCAGCGCTAGCCATCAGTACCAAAAAATTTTCGTGCTTGTCAGTATCGTACGGGTGCGGGTGGTAATTTCGTATGTGTGTGTAATTGGAAAAATGCATAGATAACTTAGCTGAGCACAGTGAAAGGGAATGCTTTTTATTTAAATTAAAAGTATGTGCTATATGTAATTTGTACACAAAATATGTGAGAAACGCAGCGCCAAAAAGGCGAAAAGGAAAACGCTGCGGCGAGGAGCAAAACTCAGCCGCAGACAAAGTGCATTTTAGGGCGTGTTTGTAGCCCCCCACTTGTCTACTTGCGACAACGGCTGTCAGAGAGAAAAAGGCCACTGCCTACAAAAATTATTAAATTGGCGCTTGAAATTTGTTTAAAGGTCGTGCTCAGTTTGCAAAAGTCGAATGAAAAAGTAGCAAATTGTTGCCAATTTCACAACTTCCTTGGCTCCGTTTTTGTATACTCCAAATTGCGAAGTGAAGTAAAAGAGGCGAGAGGCAGAGAGCGTATCTCGTCAAAGAAAGAAAAGAGACGCAAAAAGAAATGTGTGTAGAGTGGAGCAAGATTTGTGTGCGTCGTCGTCGTCGAAGTAATACAAAGCAAAGACGATAAAAAGTGCATAAAATTGTTTATCATCATCATAAATTAAAGTTGCAAGAATTGTGCAAAAAAAATATAAGAATTAAATAAATTATAAAAACTGTTGCGCGAAAAACAGCAGCCAGCAACTAGCAGCTATCCATCAACCCACCCTCAGCGCCTGCTGCTCAGCTCCATCTCCATTTAGCTTTGTGTCACCGTATCCGTGTCCGTCTATTGTACAAGAGGGTACGTATACGTGCGTGTCGTGTTTGTGCGTTGATCTGCGTATGTTAAAAGCGACATGGGCGCGCAGCAGGGCAAGGAGCGCGGCTCACATTCGAGCGGTGGCCATGGAGGCACGGCCAGTTGCATTGGCGTCTCTGGCGGCAGTCCAGTGGCCGCATCTCCACACTGCATAAGCGTGGGCAGCGGCAATGCATTGGGCGCTGGCTCCACATTACGCGGCTCACGCATCAAATCGTCGGTGGGACATGGCAGCGGGGGCGGCGGCAGCAGCAGCCTCTCGCATCGAGGTGTCGGCAACTCGGGCGCTGTCCACGGTCATAAGGATAATCGCTGTCAGCCGACCGTGGGTCACAATGTGTTTACCGAACACAATGGTGAGTGTGGCTTTATTTTCACATTTCAAATTATATTCTACACACCCACGAGAACATAGAAATGCACTTACAAATAAACAGAATTTGTACATACATAGTTGTAGATACATAATGCTTTCGGCAAATATACAAACCGACATCCATTGTACATAATGCACCACATTTTCTTCATCACGCACTTCTATCTCTGTCTCTCGCTGCGTTCGCTCTCCATGTTACTTTCCAATTGAGCCAATTTCTTTTTTCATTGCTTCCGATTATCATAGAAGCGGAATGTGCGCCTGCTGTCATTGTTGTTGTTGCCTTGCCGGCTAGTTCCATTTGTGGTTGTTGTTATTGTGCACTTTTGTTTACAGCAGCAACACAACACAAGCAGGAGGGTAGGCGGGCAGGCAGGCAGGCAGGCGGCACACGCTCACGCACAAATAAATGCGAAGGCGAAGTCGCGTGGGCGGGCGCTGTGTGCCAGTTAAAGGGATACATTTAGCAGCAACAGCAATGCCAGCAATGGCAGCTCATTTTATAAATTGTTGCCGCTGGGGCGGACTCTCGACTTTTTCATCCATTAATGCGTTGTGGTACTGCCTGCTTCACTGTTGTTCTTGTTCTGCACCCTCTGCACAGTGGTTGATGCTATTGCCACCCCCGCAGCCAGCTCACCCATTTCACGCACTCACGCATTTTCATATAGTATGTATGCATGTATTAGTCGTCCTTCCGCTTCCCCGTATTTGTACAATACAAGTATTTTCCTTTATTATTTGGCTTGGCAAGTTGCAGCATTTCCCCTTTTATTTTGTGATGTCCGTATGCTTTTATTCCTGTAAGTAAGTATGTATGTTTGCCCTTTGCTAATAAATTTTTTACGAGTATGTCCTCAACATTGTCCTACCGCAAGGGCTCTATTTGTTTTCCTGCCTTTTTTTTCTAAATAAAGGGCAAATTATTAAAATCATAAATAAACACTTTTGCTCCCATGTACAAGATCAATTAAATTGTGTACAATTTGAAAGATTTTCATTAATGTTGTAATAAAATTTCGTTCGTTTATCCAGTCTCCCTAGAAGTACACACTTTTTCCAGCAATATACTTTAATTTCTACCTTCAATCTTCTATTGATTTTCTACAAATTCCGCAATTATCGCAGAAAGCCATTCTTACTGTGACTTGTAGATTTAGTTACATTCATAAAAACTGGATGTAGAAATTGATTTAACGAATGTCAGTAATGCCAAAGGGATGGCCAAGTCTAAGTTACATTTCACAAATTGTTAGCTCTGATTGGATATTAATTATATCTGTGTATGCTGTAAACTATTAAATGTGAGTTAATGATTTTAATTTCAGTTGCATGGCATCACCATATTTTAAAAAGCGACTCTATTAGGCTTCATAGACATAGAATAAACAAACTTGACAGATACAGAGAGCCTTCGAATAAGATATGAAAACCAGTTAGATAATTAGCTACTGATAAGGCATTACTTATTGGGCCGCATTGCTATCAAGTTCACTGACTCAAAGCTAATTTGATTACTTTTTTTTATACAATAGACATGGTGGATTGTAGAGCAACCCATATGTGGCTTATCACGAGTCTTTTTTTCGCAAGTTCAGCTGTTTTTTATTTTCTTTCTTGTGGAATCCACTTAATGGCTGTTCGTTTGCTCGTTCGGTCACTGCAATGTTTAACAAAATCCTACATACTATATACACACAATTAGCTGCTCAATATGTTTTACATGAGTCGTGTTGATAGTCATGCCCCGATAAATTAGTCGACAAGCCACGATTATAAAGTATGCGAATGCGAACTGTGAGTCACAGTTTGTTTTTGCAAATCCATAAATTCTTTGTATAAATGCGTCTTCCCGTGCATTGTTGCTATATCCATTAGCCCTAGGCATGTTCGCAGGCATTTCTCATGCTACCATGCATTCATGTCCCATGTATGACAAGATTTTCCAGTTCCGGACAATTTCCCAGTTATTTGCAAATTTTCAAACTACTATAACTATGAATATGTACGACTTTAAGGTGCAATTGCACATGCTTATACGAGTACTTATTGTTGTTCGCCATTTTGGCGCGTTCGTAACTCTCGCTGCTAATGTAATTACGAAATTACATTGTAAAACTGTATCTAGGTATAGATTACCTCCACAATTCCGACAACTACAGCACAGCAGTCACAGCAGCCGATCCCAGACAGACATGTTGTCTGCTTGACGAGTTCGCCAGACTGGCTGACTTTTGACTGGCAGTCGCGAACTCGGAATCAAAAATCACACAAGCGACAAACAAACTAACATGATTGACGAACATTGCACAGTGGGCCAAATAATGCAGAATAGTACTTGCATGTGGTATTGTTTGGATGCTTCCAGGAATGCTAAATCTAGTTCTCAGTTGGGCAATCTTGGCTTATACCGCTACTTAGTTCTTGTTGCAATGTTGGTATATGTTACCTATAAATAAATATTTAACAAACAATAATTCAGCTTATCTGTGGGGAGGTTTTGCCTCACTTGCGCTTATAAAAAGCAATTTAATTGAAGCATGTTAATCAGTCGAGCTGCTGTTTATTTATTTTCAACTTCAAGAGAAGAGGAACGATTGAAACAGCAAAATAATTTCCTTTTTCGATTTTAAAAGAATCGCGCAAACTTGCGGTGGTTTTTTATGAAAGAGTCTTATTAGCTTACGCTCTTCGTTAAAATTGGAATTTAAGCTTAAAAACTGAGCCCAATTTTGATAGATCACCAATGTGGAAGAGTTTCTGCCTATAACTGTATTGACAATCGAATATAATGTGCTTTACTAAGGTAGGAGTAGAAGTATGAATGTTGCAGAATTGCAGATGTATGTGTTTCTGGTAGGATCAAAAAGGTGTTTGTTGAACTTTGCGTACTCGTAGATGGTTCTTTTTTTGATTGATTAGGGAGTGTTAGTTGGGATTATATTTTTCGTACTTCTTTTTGAAGCTATAAGCTGTGTCGTGCCGTCTATTTGAGATTGGAATGTGGCACCCTCTTTGTGTTTTCATTATTAAGAATTGGACCCCACTGTTTCCCTTTGGCTATGTGTAGGCGTTGTTATAGGGCAGCCAATGCGGAATTTGAGTTCACTCAGAGTCGCACGACACGATGTAATTAGATACTTTTGGGGCACGAACGCAAACACAAACCGCACTCGCGGCGTTGCGGTGTTACGAAAAACGCTGGGAAAATTGCAATTCAATTGTTGTTGTTATTATTGTCGGGAACTACTGCTGTGCTGTGTGACTGCAAATGCTTTTCTCGCACTGCTTCAATGAACCTGCCAATACGTGTATTTCCACATACAGTAAAACCTTTGAACCATAGTCGAAGAAAGAATAATAATAATAATATTGTACATGAATACATAGGTATATTTTTAAAGGAGCCTTAAGCAAAAGATAAAAAAAAAATAAGAAAAAACGGAAAAGTTTCCATTTGCCTTCATAGAAAGTGTTTGAATGGAAACATTACTTCATATACATTTTATATTTGTAACAAAGGTAATAGGCATCTATGTATGCACAACAGAAAAATGTTGTGGAAAACAAAACAAAATAATATTAAACAAAAAAATAGTTTTTAAATAAACATTTTATGAAAACGCATTAAGAGTTCAACCCTATTTGCCAATGACCCCTCAAAGTCAGCCAAATCAAGGAGTTGGGCAAAAAAAGAAAGAAACTTTAGCTGTGCATGGCTAATAAAGCATGTTTGTACTGTAGATGCAGATGGAAATGAGGCACTTGCACCCGCTCTTCAGACACTAGACACACCCACTGGCGTTGTCTCAAAATAGCCTCAAGTGAGTGTTGCCCCAAAGTTGGTGTCGTCGTCATCATATGGCGTTTCCTTTTTGCCCCGGCAACGTCGTCATTGTCGTGTGTAAGCAAACATTGCCATGCCTTGGCTTGTTTTGGTCAAAAGTGTGAGTATTTGTCCACTCGTCGTGGTGTGGCTGTGCACGTATTGTAATCTAAACCGACGCCTCTACGTGCCAACGTCAATGGCCGCTAGCAGAAAACTTCACTTTGGAGCTGCTGCTGTAGCTGCTGACATGCAAGCGGAAAATTATGAGGCAAATGAACTTTTCCATACTAGCATGTATGTATGTATGTACAAGTATGTGTGAAGCTTTGGCTAATAGTCGCCACACGCACAGCCAAGTGGACAAGCAAACAGGTGAGAGCAACGTTGTTGTTGTTGCTAAGCTTTTCCAGGCTTCACTTTAAGGCAGAGAAACATTTCCTTTGTTTGTTTCGATTATGCATAAATATTTCTTCAATCGTTTTAATGGGTTTCATTGGCATAAACACAATCGCTGTCATAAAACGCTCAACCTCAAAGGCGCTGTCTCCACTTTGTTGCCATCTGCCCCCTCCATCCCGTCCACCCCCTCCCCCGCTGGTACGTATAGTTTACAGTCTTTGGACTCGGCAGGCATTTCTAAAATTAGCCAGCAATATCTTGTTGCTTTTTATAATTTTCTTCACTTTTACTTGGCTGGCAACTTTTGTGCCTTTGTGTGCTTCGTTGCAGCGTCATCGTACGCTTCCAGCGCCTGACTGCCTCCCTGCTTGCCACCTCCTCTCCTTTCCCCTCCCTCGACTCATCCACTGTGGCATTTCCTGGCGCATGGCACGCCAACCAACTCCCAAAGTGCTGTCATGGTTGCTCTTATTGTTTTTGTTGTTGTTTCTTCTCTAGTTGGCGTCGCCATTACATTTCATTTCCATTGCATTTTCATTTTTAGTGCTTGTACTTTGCATGTTTCAAATACATACATACATTTGTATGTATGTATATGTATGTGTGCATTACACACACACACACACACACTCACTCATCGCTGGCTGGGGCCAAAGGGCTGTCTCGATCAAGCTCGTAAATCCTTTTCGTGCCTCAAACTCCGTTTCGATGCACTTTGAAGTTATTTTTAGCTTAGCAATTTTTATAGATAC